AAATAAAAAAAAATATGTTAGGGGTGGACAACCCTAATCACTTAGGGGTATGAAAAATAGATAGTAGCCGATTCTCAGGCTTACTGAATATGCATAAAAAATTTCATGAGAATCGGTCAAGCGATTTCGGAGGAGTATGGGAACGAACATTGTGACACGAGAATTTTATATATTAGACTAGCTGACCCGGCAAACGTTGTGTTGCCTTAAATAAGATTTCTAGGGAAATTCTACTGTAGAAAAAAAAAACATAATACCTCATTATAAACAAAAAAAATATATCCAAAAAATTAAAATAAAAAATTAATGTTTGGGGTGGACAACCCTTTTCACTTAGGGGTATGAAAAATAGATAGTAGCCGATTCTCAGACCTATTGAACAGACTATTGATACACAAATAAAACCAAAAAAACATAGCTGAAAAATGTATAGTATTGTATAGCTCTCAAATATATTAAGTGTATAATCTATGATGTATAGTGAGTAAGTAAGACAGGAGACCGGCTTCGTCTTCATCCTGGCGACACCTGGCGGGGATAGCCGACCGATTGATAGTTGATCAGTAGTCGACCGGCGAGGGAGGGGAAAAATTCAATTTAAAAAACATTAATTAAAGGAACTTGAAATTATAAACTCTGAATAAGAATTTATCATACTACAATTATAATATTTGATTGCCATCTTGCAACCTTATTGCGGATCAGTGCATAGAATAAAAAAAATATTAATCGGGATGGAAAAATAGGGGTTGATCGTATAAGAGTGAAAATTGAGAGCAATATGATTTTTTTTATTTTAAGTCATGACAAAACAAAATAAAAAATTTGCCAAAAAAAATTAAGTTTATAATTAGCAAATAAAAAATAAGGGTTGATCGTAGAGAGGTGAAAATTTAGGGTTGTATGTATTTTTGTATGTTGTATCATAAAAAAATAGAAATTAAAAATTTTGTCTAAAAATTAAAAAAAAATATTTAGGGGTGGACTACCCCTAACATTTAGGGGGATGAAAAATAGATGTTGGCCGATTCTCATAGATACCGGATAAGCACAAAAAATTTCATCAAAATCGGTCAAGCCGTTTCGGAGGAGTATGGCAACGAAAACTGTGACACGAGAATTTTATATATTAGATTATACTCGTGGCGTCGCTTGCGTTAATGTACTTTTGTCAATCGATTCTAGCACAGAAACAGGCGTTATTTTACGACACCATTATGTCGTAAACAGCTTTTTCTTCCTGTCGACGCTAATAGCTCCAAAATCTAAGCGCTGAATCCACGCGAACATCGTACAAATGTCGTGGAAAAACTTCATGTTTTCAAACGTACTAATGCTATATGAAATGTTTATTTAATTATTAGTAAATTGATTACGTTTTTATTCGGACATTCGATATTTTACAGCGAAACTATAATACTATATGTACAATGTCATTGAAATAAATACCAGAGGAATACAAAAAAAAAAACATTTTTTTGTCTCTCACAGTTCCAGTCTCTAATCACACAGTTCCGGATAATGAATTAGTACCATTCCCTTAATTCGTACAAAGAGGGTGGAACAAAGAGGTTCTGTCAATAAAGGCCTCCCTTTCATTACGTCGCCGTGAGATGATTACACGCTTGTCTGTTTCGTGTCTGGTACGAAAGTTTTAAGGACGCAAATACGTTTGAAAATACTACACTTCTTTTTTAATTATAAAAATACATAATATGAATAAAATGAAAGCTTAATGGATCAATTCAGCAGAATAAACAAAATAACTTTAATATGTTATTCTGAAATAGCTGATTCGACAGGTATTTATTTCCCTATAAAAAAAAATTTCATTGAGTTGGGAGATGCAACGTTTGCCTACATTTACCGCTAGGGGCGTTGTTCCAACTGCATACAATTTCAAGTTAACTTTAACGCTATCGACAACGTTAAAAAACTCACACTAAGCACACTGCTTTGTCGACTCGATCCAGCAACTCTCGACTGATGCGTTTACCAATGGACAGCATTTTGTTTTTGTTTAGACAGGTCATGGGTACTGGAAACGCACCTGAGGAACAAGAATACATTTATGAAAGATGCTGACAGAACAATTTGATTGTGGCTATTCACGTTAAAAGATTTCTGTGCAACGGTAGCCGCCTAACCTACGGTTTTCCGTGAGCTTATTAGAGTATTTAAAGCAATAAGAAATCTATTTATAGCGTGTTGATAGTTTTTTTATTTAATTTTTTTTATTGCGTAGATAGTGGAAGTGGTTAGGAGTGGTAACCGACATAGGCCCATAGACATATACAATATAAATGCTGCCACCCACCTTGAGACATGAGTTGTAAGGTCTCACTTTTAACAGTACAGATTAGCTACATTATTATATTTTCTGCTGTCTTAGATCCATTTTCCGCCGAGTACCGATCAAAATAAGTTTTTCTGTGTTTTTGTACTTATGTATCAGTGTTACAATTAATCATTATCTAAGTATGTGCTATCTATGTACTATGTAGATATTTGGTTTTGTAATTGTAACATCCTGTATATAACACTCACACACTATTTTCCCATTAACTTGGTTCTCGCTATCGATTACGTAGAAGATGGGATAATTCCATTTAAGCACCGACGTCTACAGTATACTGTTAATGAAATATTTAGCGAGTGACTGATTAGAGATGTAGCTCTTATTCGTTCAACAGATGACGTAACACGGATCCAAGAGAACTATAATAGAGATTGAACTGTTGCGTTGTTGAAGTGTGAGTGAATCCGACTAATACTAACTTAGTTTCGATTGGTATTGTAACTGATTTTTATTGTTGTCGGCAACAGATGAGAATTTTGTTCACCTTGTCTTTTGTCGTTACTTACGCTCAAAGATGATGTCGCTGCCTATGAGAAGGACAGTTTTTAAAATTCTTAACCTAAACTACTAAAACTCTAGTACTAAAGAAATCTACTTAAATATTAAATACTTGTAATAATTGTTCTCGAACAACGCCGATAGAAGTCTACAGGCAATAGACGCAAAAGATCACATCTTGATACGTGATGTTGGTGAACGTTTCATGCTCAGATTGAGGTGAACACAGTGAATTCTGATCCGATTGTCAGCGGTTTGGCAGCGAAGAAGGGGTGGGATCATCGCGAATAATTCCTCAACGCATGTCCCTGGATATTTGGTACAAAATAGAAGCAAAGTTTCTACGTAGAGCCCAAGATTCTAAACCACACACATGTATCGTCGCCTTTATAGATCTATAACTCTAGATGAACGAATTCTAGGTGCTTACTATATGGAACGGTTACTAGTGTTGATAGAACATTAAAGCCATCACCAATACAAAGTCGGAGGTCTAATTATAACAGATTAATGGAAAACATAAAGCAAAAATCAAATATGGACGGTCTATTGAAAATGTTGGGTGCGCGACTTTTCCTTGTGTAGTCGTTTCCAATTGTACTTGGTGGGCTGTGAACTCGTCCACCCATCTAAGCAATAAAAAAAATGTGAGCTTATTCCACTAAAACTTTTATATCGCAAAAGAGTATCTACGCTGAATTTAGTTTATCAGGGGGATAACGACATCCGCTAATAAACATTTACGTAAGCCGTCTGTAGGGCTTGTCTGCCCATATATAGAAATAAAAAAGACCCTGTTGTTTTAAGGTCTTGTCAAGTCTTGATAGATTTCTCACGACAAACGAAATAGTTCCTTCAGTACATCATTTACCATAACAATCCATAACCATTACAACCATATAAACATTAAAGTTAAACATTTTAGAACTATATATATTGTTACGCGCTGGGGTTCGGGGTAAATAAATGTTCCACCAAAGTACAACTTAAAACTGTATTCATCCCTTAGGACACACACAGATCACTTTAAAATTCTCAATTCACTTCTTCCGCTTCGCTTCAGGTGACCCGTTCGTTGTTTCGCTTCAAGTGGTTCCGATATATATTCAAGTTCAATGCACCTACCATTATTTTCTCTGCACTACCTTTGGTTGATTGTTAGAGAATGCCATTAGGCATTAAGTCCGCCAATGTAAATAATACATGAAGTGTAATAAATAAATAAAATAAAAACACTTAAAGTGTAACATATAGCTTTTCGAGAACTAAATTTACAAATCGATAATAATCACTTAAGAGTCTACTCCAAAGAGCACTGTAAGATAAATGTCCTTGGAGACCCGTCAAATAAATTAGATTTGACCTCACAGCCGTTCCTAAGTCAATAAATCACTTCGAAGCACGATCGGAAATTGGTGACGAGGCGTTTTTACTATCAGCAACTTTTTCAGCAACATAAATATCCTATTATCGCTTTTACAGCGCTTTCGAAGATACATACAAACAATATTGTCGTTTGATCTCAAAATTGTTTACAGCGACCGATGTTTTAAATGCTTTAACGTTTTCCTAATATTTATGTTGTGTTTTTGTTTTTGGTATGAGCTCCAGAATCTCAATATTTATAGTTTAGTCGATCATGAATATGAAAATACCGGTATGCGACCCCAGACTTTCGATTATTTTTATTATTTATGCCTTACTCAAATATACGACGATCAAATATGATAATACCTACATACCTATATATGAGGATTCTGATATTCAAACAGGAAAATCCGTATATAATTTTTTAGAGAGCAACTTCCTAATTGCTCTCTGAAGTAGTAACTGGCTATGTTACACGCCCGCACGACCCTCATTCAGCTTATTTATAAATCTCGCTATAGTTATGCCAAGAAACGAAGAATAAGAGTATCTGAAGGATGCAACAATCCTTGTGTCAATACGATTGAGACTTCAATTTGTCTCAAAGCGCTGGTCATCATTTTGATTGCATACTAGGCTATATCTGCCATTTCGAAAAAAAAAACATTATCATTAAGATTAAGATTAGATTAAGATTAAGATTAAGATTCTTAAGATTCTTAGGCACAATAACCCAACGAAAAGTAAATCTAATCAAAACATTTCTTTGTTACAGAAAAGCAGCCCCACTCAATACTTTTGGTACCGAACAACTCTTCAAATATCCGAAGACATAAACTATCCGGAAACGTTCAATTACAAAATAGCTCTTGCTCTAGTCATTGCTTGGATTCTGGTCTACCTGTGTATGATCAAAGGGATTGCGTCATCGGGGAAGGTGGTGTACGTGACCGCAACATTCCCATACATAGTCCTTGTTATATTTTTCTTTAGAGGCATCACATTGAAAGGCATGAGCGACGGACTAATACATCTATTCACTCCGAAGTGGCACACGATTTTAGACCCTGTGGTGTGGTTAGAAGCGGGCACACAGATCTTCTTTTCGCTTGGACTGGCTTTTGGTGGTTTAATAGCCTTCTCTTCGTACAACCCGGTCGATAACAACTGCTACAGAGACGCCATTATGGTCTCCATGACAAATTGTCTAACATCAATGTTCGCTGGTATCGTTGTCTTTTCTATAATTGGCTTCAAAGCAACTATGATCTATGAGAAATGTTTGGAGATCAGGAACGAGACTTTATTGGAGATGTTCGGGTCGTCATACAAGTCAATGGTGTTTCCTGAGGCTGGGGAATCGGTAACAATCGATAAAAATGGAACTATAACGAATTTGTTAATGCCACTATTGCCTGTTTGCGATTTGCAGAAGGAACTCGATAATGTAAGTACCATTTACAGCCTACACCTTAGACAAATACATGATTATATTTACGTAATCTGTAAACATGAATATTTGGTAGGTCTCTATGTAGAAAGTTCGACTTTTAATTTTATTGAAGCGTCAAAAAGGGCGCCTATGGAGAACATATGAATTATCATGACCAGAGACGAACATGTTTTAAGTTCTACGAAATATAAAGAACTGGAATTTTATGGCGATTTTAAATACCTTTTACGCAGAAGGGTTCATTACAATGCTCTCTGCATTTAGCCCAAAATTTTGACTTTGAAGTCAGTTATTAAAATAAATACAATCCCATCAATGTTCGTAAATGAGATCAATAGAACCATTTCTAATGTACGTTTTATTGTGTTGAACAATTAAATTACATAATAAATATATTAATAGTTTTTTCACGTCAGTTATTAAAAGAAATACAATCCCAACAATGTTCGTAAATGAGATCAATAGAACCATTTCTAATGTACGTTTTATTGTGTTGAACAATTAAATTACATAATAAATATATTAATAGTTTTTTCCACGTAAACAATTTAGAATCTTACATGTTTACTTCCATTGATTTTGTGTTCTAAAATTGATGCTATTATTCTATACGTCCCTACCAATTTAGGTAACCACGATTAAATTCTATACTTGTACATTCTTAATCTAATTTATTTAGAGACGACGCGTCAGCGGCGGCGGTTCGCCTCGAGGGAGACGGGAAAGCAAATATTTATTGAAACGATTAAGATTTGAATATTGTGCGGCTCGTCCTATCGACTCGCGTCTCATGTTGAGAGCGTTGAGTTTAAAATTACTATTACGAATTAAGCTCGCTGAGGGATTTTTCTGATTTGAACCATTGAAACTGGGTCACGTGACGCTGTGATTGGGCTGTGATGCGTGCATTAGTCGAAACTACCCGCGAGCCCCCTGTCCTTGGTCGATGATAGTAACCTTCGTCAAATCAACAACACAAAGTGTACTAGGACTGATTACAATCAGATGATCGATTTACGCACAGAAGAATAACAGACAAACACAAAAATCGATTTTAATTAAATAGATATATTGCACTAAATTTACGAAAGAACTCCATGCGTTTAATCACTCAGTGTTTTGTGGAACACATGGACTTCACAATGTGAACGCCGTCACAAGCGTAGAGATCTGAAGTCGAAGCCCTAAATACATTGTTTAAGTACCCTACCCATCAAACCGGAACGTTTGACTGCTTCGCAGCCGTAAGAAGAGGTAGGATTGTGGGTATTACCCTGCCTGTTTCGCAATATCCCCCACCCAAATTTTTTCATATGGAGTGAATAAGATATATAACCAACTAATACAAACATTGTCCCACAGACCGCATCCGGGACCGGTTTAGCGTTCATCATCTTCACCGAGGCCATCAACCAATTCCCAGGCGCTCAATTTTGGTCGGTTCTCTTCTTCCTGATGCTTTTCACCCTCGGGATCGATTCTCAGTTTGGGACCCTTGAGGGCGTAGTCACTTCCATCGTGGATATGAAGCTGTTCCCGAACCTACGCAAGGAGTACCTGACCGGAGGGCTGTGCTTGCTTTGTTGCTTGCTATCAATGGGCTTCGCTCATGGTGCAGGCAGCTATATATTCCTGCTCTTCGACATGTATAGTGGGAACTTCCCGCTACTGATCATTGCGTTCTTTGAATGCGTCGGGATCGCTTACGTGTACGGAGTAAAGAGGTGAGTATTACCGGATTTATTAATAAACTTATAAAAGATAAATGCAGCGATGACCTTTCAACATCAGTAATCTCAAGGTCACCGTGCCATTTTACCTAGCATAATGATCAGGTTCTGCCGAGGCTGAATATGAAGAAATACGAGCGACAAGACGATCGTAGCTTGGTTCGATTGTCAGAGCATTACCTCAATCTTTCTAAAATTGATTGATTGTGATTCCCTCAAACGAAACATGTAAAATAATGTTAACCTCGAATATTCTCATGTCATTTTTCCTTGCAGCAATGTTTATTCAGTAGATGGAATGATGCGTTTGTGGCTCAACATTTTCATCTTTTCGACCTCTTCCTCAGTATACCCTAATATCAAGTGCAGTGAGCTCAAAGCAAACGTCATTACTTTGAGACATGAGATTTTTAGTTCCGTAAGCTGGACGTCTTGCCAACCAGAACGTATGACCGTTTCCGTAGAAACAGGATATCCTGGGCTTATAAATAAAATTACGTCCACTACGTAATCGATGCATCTGCATATATTTAGAAGCAATTATTTAGTATACTTATAGTATATCTCGTTTAAAAAACGTACTATACGGTTTTGCAGCGATAGCCATTGATTGGCAAGCAGAAGAATTTTTTTTTTTTTTTTCCGAGTTGTTTTTTTTTTTTTTTTTTTTTATGATTGAAAGTTTACTGGTGGCCCGAAGGCCTTTCCAGTTTCACCAGGACAGGTGGGCGAGCAAAGGCTCAGCCAAGAGGGGTGGGATTTGCTAACAACTGCCCGAGCGCCTCCGAAGGAGACCTAACAACTCAAGAGCAATTGTTTCGCGAATGAATCTACTACCGGATCGGAATCGCGACCCGCTGAGAAGATCCGGCGAGAAACTCAGCGGGCTGATGCATGGGTTAGGTTGCACGTCGACCTCTTTGTCGAGTTCGACGAGTACGGTTACCGGGGTCCCTAAGCCTGCCCCTAGTATTAGAGCTGAAGGCATCTAATGCAAAGGTTATTGGATCTGATGGATCCGTAAGGACGTGTCTAGGGCGTCGACGGTGACTGGCTCCTGCATGATCAGGATTCGGGGAGTAGTCAGCGGCGGCAACGATAAGGCGATTATCATGACGCATAGCCTTATCGAAGTATCGTTCCGACGCTGACTTCATGTATTTCCGAATTGATTCGAGGCCCAGGTCGTCGTGTAGGTCAACGTTCCTCACGAACCACGGAGCCCCGACAGCTAACCTGCAAAAGCGGGATTGTAGGGATTGGAGGGTGTCTATGTGTGTGCGGGCCGCGTGAGCGAACACCACACTCGCGTAAGTCATGACGGGCCTTATGCAAGTTTTGTAAAGTGTCACCTTGTTCCGAAGGGACATTTTACTCCGCTTACAGATCATGGGGTAGAGTCTACCGAGAATAAACGCGGCACGGTCACGGACTGATTTTATATGCGGGCGGAATGTCATCGATGCATCCAGGGTAACGCCCAGGTACTTGACCTTCCTGGCCCAGGGTATGGGTTGTCTAAAGAGAGTAATCGGGGGTGTGAGATTCCTCCTCCTAATCCGGGAGGAAATCCGTGTGGAGCTTCCCCTCTGAAATAGCACCGCAGTACTTTTCGCTGGGTTGATGTCTATGCGCCATTTTCGGAACCACTGTCCTAGGGCTAGGGCTGCGCTCTGAAGCTTCTTCGCGATTAGGGACTTATTTCTACTAGAATAGTAAACAGTCGTGTCGTCGGCGAATAAAGCTAAATGGGTCGGCGGCGACCGGGGAATATCGTTGACGAATAAGCTAAATAGGAGGGGTGAGAGGACAGAGCCTTGCGGGACTCCAGCTGTGAGAGGTCGTGGGGAGGAGCGGGTTCCCTCGACTCGATATCGAAAAGAGCGGTTCGACAAGAAGTCCCGTATGATGAGCACGAGACTATCCGGCACGCCCATGTTGAATAGTTTGAAAATCAAACCATTGTGCCAGACTTTGTCGAACGCTTTTGCGACGTCGAAGAAGAGAGCTCCCGTGTATAACGGTTTTGGTCGATTAAGCCCCACAAGAATGTGCTCCGTGAGGCGGTGCACCTGTTGAACGCATGAGTGATTTGTACGGAATCCGAATTGTTCATCGATGAGAATGCCCTTGGATGAGACGAAGTCTCTGAGGCGTTTGTAGAGCAGACGCTCATACAGTTTGCCTAGAGACATGAGGAGGCTAATCGGGCGGTAGCTCGTCGGATGATTTTTTGGTTTACCGGGTTTATGTATGCCGATAACGTCCGCTTCTTTCCACACCGCGGGAAAGATACAGTTCGCCATAGCGGCATTGAAAATAGATGCCAACATCACGATGAGTTGGACGGGTAGAAGTTTAATAACGCGGTTGGATATACCGTCGGAACCGGGAGCCTTGCGAGGACGTAGGTCTTTGATCAAGTCTTTAACTTCCATCGGGGTGACGGGTGGTAACGCATCCGAGGGTGGCAAGGAGGCTCTGCGTTCTACCTCACTGTCTACTAATTCTACATGAACAGGGTCCACGGATTGAGTGCTGGGCGTGCACTGGGTTTGCAATGTATCGGCCAGCAGCTCTGCTTTTTCGTCATCATCGAACGCCGCGAGTCGGCCTGAGGGGCCTACGAGGGGGGGCATAGTTACTACCGTATCCGATTTGAGAGTACGAGCTAAGCGGTAGTAAGACCTTTGGGAGGGCGCGAGTCCTTCTAAGAAATCAGACCATCTGGCATCTCGGACTTCGGCGATGCGAGACTTTACGTCGCGTTGTAGGGCACGCATTCGAATACGATTTTCCGCGGTAGGATACCTGTCGTAGGCGCGTATCGAGGCGTTCTTAGCTCTAAGGAGTTCCCTAATATCGTCGGACAATTTGAAGCGGTGAAGGAAGTCCTCCGCTACAACTTGTTTCGATGACCTATCTAATGTCGAGGTGATGTGTGACGTTAAGATGTCTATGGCTTCAGCGGTATCCTGAGGAGACGGGATAGAGTCCGGGTTAAACGGGAGCGATGGTGGATCAGATTCAGCCAGGCTGATGCCCAGCGTGTGCCAATCCACCACAGTCCTCGTGACGGGAACGGAATCGGGAGCGCGACCGAGCTTCATAACGACGGGACGGTGGTCTGAATCTAACTCTGAAACTACTTCGATCGAGTGTAAGCGCAGAGTTACGTTTTTTAATAACGCTATGTCGAGTATATCCGGGCGATGCGCGATATTTAGCGGGTAGTGAGTCGGGGTTAGCGGAGCGACGATATCGAAGGCGAGATCATCGACTAACGCGTCAAGCCGCCTGCCATTCGGGGTTGTGGTGTGTGAGTTCCACCTGATGTGTTTACAATTTAGGTCGCCCGCCAGAATGACAGAGCTCCCCATACCGAGCAGCGCCTCGATATCACTGCTTAGAACGATCTTATCCGGTGGAAGATAAACGGACGCGATAACGATCGGCGCGTGTCCCGTCAGTGAGATTCGGCACACTGATGCTTCGATATTAGCGAGCGCGGGAGGATCGAGCGGGACGCAATGCAGGGCTCTTCTATAGTAAATGACGGTACCACCACCACGGGCAGAGAGCCTGTCGTTCCTGACCATGTTATAGTTCGCGATTTTAGGGTCACGGCGCGCGGGCTTAAGTAGGGTCTCCTGCACTAAAAAGATATCAATTTGGTGGTCACGCAAAAAGTCAGAAACCTGATCACGTTGATTTGCGAGACCGTAAGCGTTAAAAAATCCTATCGTTACGGATAGGGGCTTTATTCTACTTATATACGCCATTGATTACCGGCGGAGTGAGGGGAGGACGTACGTATTTAATGACGCGTATACGTCGGCGTATTCCTGCACAACGGCGATAAAGTGTTGTGCAGTGGAGGCAGCGCGAATGGCGTCGCCCAAAGCGTTAACGCGCTCAAAGTTGATCGACTGAAAGAAGTCGATCGCTAAAGCGAGATTGTCGGACGCGGTCGGAGGGCAAGTCGCGGGAGAGGGACGAGTCGCGGGGGCGGGACGAATCGCGGAGGAGGGAGTTGTAGCCGTGTTCGTGTACGGCAGCGGTTTTGCCCAGGCCGAGACACTGGGCACCGCCGCCGGAACGAACGCTGGCTTAGCCTGCGACGCAGAGGGTGCCGAGGCTTTGATGTCTGGGCCGGAAGCTCGGAGGCGGTTTTGGCGGGCGACGCGGCGATTTATTTTAGGGGCTCGGGGGCAACCACGGTAATTCGCGGGGTGACCCTGTGTTCGACACAGGACGCAGCTAGGCGGTTCCGTCGCGGTTTTTTGGTCGCGAGCGCAGAGGGCCGTGGCGTGATCGCCCAAACACTTAACACATCGGGGGCGCGCGTGACAGTTACGGGAAGAGTGCCCGTACAATTGACAGTTATGGCACTGGCTAGGAGTGCCTTTTTTATGGGGGGCTTCGACAGCGATACCAGAGAGCCTACAGACGGTCTGTGTGTTAAAGATTTTCTTACCCTCGGGGGTAGGCTGGAGAGCGACTAGAACCATATTATATGGCTCCCTACCGCGACCGGTGTGCATACGGTGCACAGAATTCACTGGTAGGCCTTGTTCTAACAGGTCGGCTTTTACGAGCTCTACATCTAACTCTTTAGGGATTCCGCGTATTACAACGCGGAGTTCGCGCTCCTCCTGGAGCGTATACGTATGGAAACTTATACGCTCCTTACGGAGGTAAGAAGAGAGGGCCCTATGGTCGTCGGGTGTTTGAACCTTAATTTGAATGCCGTTCGCGAGGTTACGGGCATTCGTGAAATTTATATTTTTGGCCTTAAGGGCCAGGCAAACTCGATCCCAAGCTGCCTTCTCCTGAAGGATAACCGGGGGAGGGGTCTGGGTTTTATTTTGTGCCACCGGACGCGGCGACGGAGTGGCACGGGCTGGGGGCGCAACGGGAGTCTGAGGGCGGGGGCGCGACGCGTTCACGGCTTTGCTAATTTTAGCGGCCGCGGGAGCTCGAGACTCCGCGGC